ACCCCCTCACCTCCCCCCCTCCACCGCCTCGTTAGAGATTCCGTTGACGACTTTTTTCTGTGTGTGTGTTTTACTAACACGCTTCTCGGACGACCTGGGGGAGGCGTCAGAACTAACCCTCTGTCTCATCCAGCCAATGTCTCGGTCATCTCTGCGGCTCCTTTCTGTTCTTACTAACCCAGATCTTTCTCTTTCTCAATTAAAAATTCGTCAGGGGAGGGGGGGGATTGGGGCAGGGCTGCGCGTTTTGGGGGGAAAGGGGGTGGCGTCTCTCCCCTTAATTAATTACGACCCAAGCCCCCTTCCATCCCCTCCCGACCCTGATTCGCCCCTTTTCTTGCGATGGGAAAATTGATTTTTCCCCCCCTCCTCTTTTATCTCCCCCGATTCTCACGGTTGGTCCATTGTTCTGTTCTCTCCTTCTTTTGGGTTTTTTTTTTCACACCCCTTTTTTTTCCCTCCTTTTCTTTCCCCCCCTCCCTTCTTTTCTTTGTGTCCTTCGGGACCTTCCCCCCATCCGTTGTGTTTGTCGATCCGTTTAGCACGCAGGAATCGGACACGCTATGGTAAACAAACTGCATTACCTGGTAGATATCACTCTAATTGTCTACTCGTTTGGTTTGCCGTGGGTTTTCTCTTCTCCCCTCCCTCCTTTCTTTCTGTTCATCGATTGGGTTTCTTCTCGTTTTACTTCCGTTCGTTACTGACTTCTTTCGTTTTGTTCGATCCGTGAGGAAGGGAAAAGCTGTTCCCGAGCAAACCCCCGGCCTGCACCAAAATGATCCACCCGGGCCTCCACCCCAGCTACCAGAAAATCCACCCAGATGCCCCTGTAATCCACCCAGATACTCCAGTGATCCAGCCAGTCATCCCTATGATCCACCCAAAGGCCCCTATAATCTACCCAGAGGTCCTTATGATCCACCCAGAGGTCCTTATGATCCACCCAGAGGTCCCTATGATCCATCTGACACCACTATAATCCATGCAAAGGTCCCAGTAATCTACCCAGACACCCCTTTGATCCACCCAGAGGTCCCTGTGATCCACCCGAGGTCCCTATGATCCACCCACACACCCCTATAATCCACCCAAAGGTCCCAATGATCTACCCAAAGGTCCCTATAATCTACCCAGATGCTCCAATGATCCAGCTAGGTATCCCTATGGTCCACCCAGATGTCCCTATGGTCCACCCAAACGTTCACATCAGGCTGTAGTTCAAACATTGTGACTGACAGCCACCAAGCAGCCAATCTGGAGTCAGTAGAAAACTGTCCAACCCCAGCATTGATGCTGTCCCAGGGTAATGGTGGTGTTGGTGGACAATGTGGAAATCTGCCCAATGTACCTAAATGTCAGTGGGGCTGACAAGGAACCAAGCTACAGCCCTACTGAAAGGCTGGGTACCATCACCCACAGCCCACTGTGGCCAACACAGCAACCTGAACTGGGTGCACAGTCATCTTTACTCCTGTCCAACTAACAGGCCAAGCCAAGGTTGGTGTGCAATCATTTATGATCCCTGTCCCACCAACAGGCCAACCCAGGCCTGGTTTACAGTTACCTACAATCCCTGTCTAGCCAACAGGCCAACCCAAGTTTGGTGTACAGGTTTTACACCCCCTGTCCAGTCAACAGGCCAACCCAGGGTTGATTTACAGTCATCTACAACCCTCATCTGGCCAAGAGGCCAACCCATGATTGGTGTACAGGCCTTTACGACCCCTGTCCAGCCAACAGGCCAACCTAGGGTTGATGTACAGTTATCTACAACCCCCGTCCAACTAACAGGCCAAACGTAGGTTAATATACAATTATCTATAACCCCTGTCCAGGCAACAAGCCAACTCATGGTTGGTGTACAGGCCTTTACAACTTCTCTCCAGTCAACAGGCCAACCTAGGGTTGGTATACAGTCGTCTACAACCCCCATGTGGCCAATAGGCCAACCTAAGGTTGGTATACAAGCCTTTACAACCCCTGTCCAGCCACTAAGCCAGCCCAGGGTTGGTGGACACTAGTTTACAACCCCCATCCAACCAATGGACTGATCCAGGTTCAGTGGAATTTCAGCTACAACCCCAGCTCCACCAATCTATCAACCCAAGCTTGTGGTAAATTCAGCCGTGCCCCTGAGCCAGCCAACAGGCTGAGGGAAGCTCAGTATTAATTCAACTCTGCCCCCAGAGCAGTTAATTCCTTACCCCAGAATTAGTGTAAATTCCATTAAAACCCCAAACCAGCCAGCTGACTGATCCGAGGTTAGCGTCCATTCAGCCCAGCCCACAGTTGGTGTATAGTCATCTATAAACCCTGCATCCAGCCAATAAACAACCAAATGGTGTGAATTCAACTTACAGCCCCAGTCAAACCAACAGGCCATGCTAAGGTTAGTCATCTACAGCCCCCGTCCTGCCAACAGACCAACATGGTGTTGCCATACAGTCATCTACAACCTCTGTCTGACCAATCCAAGGTTGGTGTCTGCTCATCTAAAACCCCCATCTGTCCAATAAACCAACACAGGGTCTCTATATCAACACCTACAAGCCCTGTCTGGCCAACAGGCCAGCATTGCGTTGGTATAGAGCAGGGGTGGGCAAAATGCGGCCCGCGGCCCACCAGGCCATTCTATCCGGCCCGTGGGGCCCCTAAAAAATTTAGAAAATGTATATTTATCTGCCCCTGGCTGCCTGTTATGCGGCCCTCAATGGCTTGCCAAAACTCAGTAAGTGGCCCTCCGCCCGAAATAATTGCCCGCCCCTGGTATAGAGACAGGCCAACATAGTGTCTCTACACCAGCATCGACAACTCCTGTCTGGCCAACACTGTGTTGGTACAGAGACATCTACAACTCCCATCCAGCCAAAAGTTCAACACAGTGTCTCTATACCAACATCTATAACACCCCATCTCACCCACACACTGACAAAAGGTTGGTATAGAGACATCTGCAACCACTGCCTGGTTAAAATACCAACAAGGTCTTGGTATAGAGACATGTACAACTGCCATATGGCTAATATACCAGCGCAGTGTCTCTGCACCAACATGTACAACCCCTGTCTGGCCACAAACCAACAAGTTGTTGGTATAGAGACATCTACAACCTCCATCTGGTCAAAAAAACCAACAAGGTCTTGGTATAGAGATATCAACAACCCCCGTCCAACCAGGGTGTAGATGTCTCTATACCAACTTGCTGTTGGTATAGAGACATCTACAACCTCCAGCCAGCCACCATATCGACACGGTGTCTCTATACCAACATCTACAACCCCCATCCAGCCACCACACCAACACGGTATTGGTGTAGAGACATCTACGACCCCCATCCGGCTAGCAGATCAACATGGTGTCTCTGTACCAACATCAACTTCCGTCCAGCCAACACACCGACATGATGGTGCTATAGACACATCTATAACCCCTGTCCAGCCAACACACTAACACAGTGTTGCTATAGAGACATCTACAACCCCATCCAGCCAACAAATCACCATGGTGTTGGTATAGAGACATCTGTACCCCTCCCCAATCCAGCCAACTGCTCAGCCTGAGGTCATTGTGAATTCGGCCATAGCCACAGCCTGGCCAACAACCTAATAGCAAGCTGGTGTGAATTCACCCTACGGCGCCATCCACCCTGTGCCTGACTCCCGGCTCGGGGCAGGTTCATCCCTTGGGTTGGTTTAGGACACAGGTGAAACCACCGCCCACCCCAAGCTTAGCTTGAACTCCCCATCTGCCCCCTGGCCAGGCAGCGGCTGAACTTGCTGGCCAGTAAAGCCCAAGAGCTGCCAGCCAAAGCAGCAGCAGCTCATCGTTGTGGTTTCTTCTTTGGTTTTTTTTCTTTCTGTTCTTCTTAATTTCTTTCTTTCTTTATTTTTTGCCAAAAAAGCCAAATTTTTGCCCCCTCTGGTTTTCGTTCCCTTTGCTTTCCCCCCACCCCCTCCCAGCGCCTCTTTGTTTCTGTTCAGTTACGTTGTCCCCCTGGCCGCCGGCCGCCTTTGCCTTTTGGTTCCCCATGGTTTTGGTTCCTTTGCCCCCCCACCCCCCCCTTGCCCCCGAACTACGACAACGACAAAAAAAATCCATGGAAAACACCATCCCATTGACGCAGCCTGGTTGTGCGCGGCCCATCCGCTCGTGGCCCCCGGCCTGGGGTGCTGCCCCCCGGCCTGGCCCGGCCTGGCCCTCCATACCGCATGGCATGCTGGGATTGCCTGAGGCATGCTGCTCTGGTCTTGTCTGGGTTTTCTTTTGGACGCGGCTCTCTCTGGGGCTGAACTAACACTTCTCACCCCCTTCTCCCCCCACCCCCATCCTCTCCTTCCTGCCCTCCTCTGTCACAGGAGCACCCCCTGCTGGGCCACTTTGGGGGTGGGGGTGGTCTCTGGGCTGGAGCCACAATGAGTGTGAGCATGAGAGTGTGTGCTGCTGACACCCCTGAGCATGCGTGTGTGGGCTCAGAGCCATCAGGCCAGTTTCACACCCCCTGTGTCTGGGTACTCATCTGCCGGGGCATGGAGCGCAGGTGTGGAACACCAATGTGTGTGCGCGTGCGTGCACACGGGTCTAGGAGGGAGCTGGCTCTGGTGTGGGTCTGGTGTCCACGTGTGCGTATGTGTTGGTATCTGGAAGTCTGGTATCTGCATGTGTGTGTGTTGCGGGGGGGGGTCTGCTGTCCATATGTATAGGTGTGTGGGGAGAGGGGTCTGGTGTCTGCACGTGTGTGGGTGGGGGGGATCTACTTTGTGTGTGCTTGTGTGTGTGTCTGGAAATCTGGTGTGTGCACGTGTATGTGACGGGATATGGGGTCTGCTGTTCTCACGTGTGTGTGTGTGTCTGTACATGTGTGGGGGGTGGGGGGTCTACTTTGTGTGTGTCTGGGAGTCTGGGGCCTGCACGTGTGTGTGTGTGATGGGAGTGGGGGGGGGTCTGCTGTCTGCATGTGTGTAGGGGGGTCTGGGGTCCATATGTGTGTGCATAGCTGAGGTGCATGTGTGTGTGTCTGGGAGTCTAGTATCTGCACGTGTGTGCAGGGGGAGGGGGTCTAGTGTCTGAACGTGTGTGTGTGCGTCTGGAAGTTTGGTGTCTGCACATATATGTGTGTGTGTGTGTAGGTGGTCTGCTGTGTGTGTGTGTCTCTCTCTCTGGGAGTCTGGTGTCTGCACATATGTGTGTGTGGAGGGGAGGTCTGCTGTCGACATATGTATGTGCATGGAGGGAGGGGTCGGGTGGTTCACGTGTGGGTGTGTGTGCATATCTGGGTTTCTGGTGTCCACTTGTGTGTTGGGAGGGGGCCTGGTGTCCACACATGGTTGTGGGCGGTGGAGTCTGGGGAGGGGGTGTTTGGGCCTAGTGTTTGTGTGGGGGGAAAGGGCTGGAAGGGGGACAGTTGCTTCAGTCATGTCTCTGGGGGTACCTGTGCAAGGGTGTGAGAGCTGTTTTGTGTGCGTGTGAGGGGGTGTCTGTGTGGGTTCATTGGAAGGCTGTGGGGCACATGCATGTATGGAAGGTATCTGGACTCAACACACGTGTGCAGATAGTGGGCTCAGTC